TTATGTTTAATGTCCATGTCACACCTATGCCGGTAGTTGTTGGGAGCACTATGCTCGAAGTTGTTGACGAGTACGTTTACCTGGGACAAATAGTCCGACTAGGTAAGTCCAACTTCGACCGAGAGGTCAATCGACGGATTCAACTCGGCTGGGCAGCGTTCGGGAAATTACGACATATCTTCTCGTCAGGTATACCTCAATCTCTGAAAACTAAAGTGTACAACCAGTGCGTGTTGCCAGTGATGACTTACGGATCAGAGACGTGGTCCTTCACTGCTGGCCGTATGAGGACGCTCAAGGTCGCTCAGCGAGCTATGGAGAGGGCTATGCTCGGAGTTTCTCTGCGTGATAGACTCAGAAATGAGGATATCCGCAGTAAAACCAGATTGACCGACATAGCCCAACGGATTAGTAAGCTGAAGTGGCAATGGGCCGGCCATATAGCTCGAAGAACCGATAACCGATGGGGAAGAAAGGTTCTCGAGTGGCAGCCTCGTACCGGTAGGCGTAGTGTAGGGCGACCCCCCACTAGATGGAGTGACGACCTGGTAAGATATGCAGGAAGTCGATGGATGCAGGTGGCTCAGGACCGTGCTTTGTGGCATTACTTGGGGGAGGCCTATGTTCAGCAGTGGACTTGTGAAGGGCTGTGATGATGATGATGATGGATATATAATCCGCATGATAATATTTTAACATTCTCTTGTGCTGATAATTGTTCTCCAGTGCTAACTTCTCATTATCCTTTCCATGTTTAATAGATTGGATATGTTCGGTGGATTTTTTATATAAAATATTCTTTACAATATTTTGACAGCTTGTATCGAAGCATCGTTTTATAATGCGGCTAAAATTAGAGGCAGTTAAAATATTACTATGCAATTCTAGCCACTCACTACATCCACTTTGTTGAACGGTTTGCCGAGCTATTCTTTCTCTTTCTTCGGGACTCTTCTGCAAATTTTGCAAAAACGATTCTTTTGATTTTAACATCATCTCTTATGACTGGTTTACTACGATCTTCACCATAATTTCTGGGATCGTGTTTCTCAAACCTTAACTTCTTTTTTATGTACTTTTTTGCAGACTACGATTTTTTGGCTTACCATTGTTCATATTTTTTAATATTATTTCGTGGGCTTCGACCTACGATTGATTTGTAAACAATTCATAAAGGTTTTCGAGTGTTGAATAATATTGCGGCAATATAGCAACGCAGCTTATATTGGTATTTTTGACTGATGTGTATTCTTTTGCCACCTATAAATTTGGCTACGATACTGTATCTTTGTACAAAATTACTGTCAATGTCAATGATAAGGCTTCGAGAGCTGCCAGTTGACTAATTATTAATTTGATTCACAGCCAAATGCTATTGGAAAACAAGTTTTCATCAATATTTTTGTCGTGTTAATTTTTTATACAATTATAGTTTTTTAATTGATTATGCCGACTAAAAGCATGTTCGGCAGCATTGATTATATCTTGATGAAGACTTGAGACGTTTCCAGTTTATTTGTGGGTTTTATTGCTTCAAAAACCGCTTTTCTCATGGACATAATTAGTGTTCAAAAAGGCAAAAGCTTTTTCAAAAAAGTGCTTTTGAAAAAGCTTTTGCCTTTCACGAAGTTTTTATTTGAAAACTATTTACGACTATTGAAATTTGATATCCCTATAATACCACCATCATCACAGCTAATAAGAGTTTACTACCGAAAACATAGGGCTCCCCCATTGGATAGCCTCATGTGGCACAGGTGATGTGTATTAAATAAATTTTATAGTTATAAATTTTATATTCAGTACAATATAAAGTAAATTAATTTCATCTATCTATCACATATATAAAATCAAAATTCTAAATTATAATAAATATTTTTTGTATAAATTCAACAACTTAATTTAAAATTAATTAATCACTTAAGAAATCCTACTTACTAACTTTTCCGCATGAATCGACCAATTTGCTGTTAACAATATTTTTTGTATCGAAGTACTTGTGCCTGCTTTACCGGTCAAGTTAGTCAGTAGTAAATATATGCATTCGCTGCGGGAGCTCGTGCCACGCTCACCCTCGTTACTCTGCGAAATATAGTGATTAAAAATAATAAATAGTATATAATAATAGAAATAGTAAGTGATATCAAATTGTAAGTGTTGTGTAAGTAAATAAATAAATTTGTGTGCAGGAATAAACTATTAGAGTGTCTGTTTTATTGGAGTCAGGCTAATATACCTGGTCAGGCTAATAATACCTGTAAGTACAACAACGCCTCGTTATACCTCACACGCTGTAGTTGCCACGCTTTGCAGGTATGTAGGAGGCAAGCGCATTGCGCATGAGATAGCTATACCGAACACGCGCTCGGAAAAAAACTAAGTGAGCACCAATCAACATTTTAATTTCTTAACAAAACTTAGTTATGTATTAAAAAATGGCTTAGGAGGACATGCAGTATTAAAGTACGAAAATACTCCTGTTTATACGGACCTACAATATATAAGACTAAAGACTTGATCACCGCGTGGCTTGACTTTAGAATATACCTCCTCAATCGTTGGTCTCAATTCAGGTTGTACAAAAACTAGGTTGCTAATTGGTAGAACCTCTATTTAGCCTGGGAGTTCGACTGAGTTGATAACAACCTATTCCCTATTTCTACCAGCAAACAGCAATGCTATCATTGTTGTGTCTCAGTTTGCAGGGTAAGAGTCAGTGTAATTGGGGGATGTGAGACAGTCACCAGTGTGACAAAGCATTTGTAGCCTATTTTGTTTTAAGTTAATGGCGAGCGTCCATCGGTATCATTGCTAGTTTAATTGTCACCCTAATATTATAAAAAATTATTAAGAACCTTTAGACGTGTTAGAGCCATGCTGCAGTTATATTGATAGTATAGTTGCCCCACGAATGGGTCGTCTCGACTGGTGTAGGACCACGCTTTCACAGAATACCAGCGGCGTAAATTAGCAGCTTTTATTGCTTCAAAAACCGCTTTTCTCATGGACATAATTAGTGTTCAAAAAGGCAAAAGCTTTTTCAAAAAAGTGCTTTTGAAAAAGCTTTTGCCTTTCACGAAGTTTTTATTTGAAAACTATTTACGACTATTGAAATTTGATATCCCTATAATACCACCATCATCACAGCTAATAAGAGTTTACTACCCAAAACATAGTGCTCCCCCATTGGATAGCCTCATGTGGCACAGGTGATGTGTATTAAATAAATTTTATAGTTATAAATTTTATATTCAGTATAATATAAAGTAAATTAATTTCATCTATCTATCACATATATAAAATCAAAATTCTAAATTATAATAAATATTTTTTGTATAAATTCAACAACTTAATTTAAAATTAATTAATCACTTAAGAAATCCTACTTACTAACTTTTCCGCATGAATCGACCAATTTGCTGTTAACAATATTTTTTTGTATCGAAGTACTTGTGCCTGCTTTACCGGTCAAGTTAGTCAGTAGTAAATATATGCATTCGCTCCGGGAGCTCGTGCCACGCTCACCCTCGTTACTCCGCGAAATATAGTGATTAAAAATAATAAATAGTATATAATAATAGAAATAGTAAGTGATATCAAATTGTAAGTGTTGTGTAAGTAAATAAATAAATTTGTGTGCAGGAATAAACTATTAGAGTGTCTGTTTTATTGGAGTCAGGCTAATATACCTGGTCAGGCTAATAATACCTGTAAGTACAACAACGCCTCGTTATACCTCACACGCTGTAGTTGCCACGCTTTGCAGGTATGTAGGAGGCAAGCGCATTGCGCATGAGATAGCTATACCGAACACGCGCTCGGAAAAAAACTAAGTGAGCACCAATCAACATTTTAATTTCTTAACAAAACTTAGTTATGTATTAAAAAATGGCTTAGGAGGACTTAGATACGTTATATATAATATGATTATTTAATATCCTTTTTTTTCGTTATATTATTTAAATTTTTTTGGGTATTTAGTTTCTGTGGTAATAGCCGATAATTTGTTACAAAAAAATTCTGAGCTAGTGGTTTCGGCATTCCACCTTTTCAACCGTAAATTTGTCGTATGGTGTCGCTTAGAGTATTTTTGAGTAGGTGTTTGCGTTGCCATCCGAGATTAACCTTCCATAAATTGGATTATGCATCTCTAAGCTCCGCTAGGAAAGCCGCGACGGAGGGCGGGGGGACACATGCCTTAGGGGCAAGGGGAGCAAGGGCATTAGAAATGGTATTGGTGAGATAGGTTTCATCGTAATGGAAGGCCAGGCCTCGAGGTTGGGGCGACTGGGTGACAACAGCCGTAATTAGGCTTGGAAGTTGGTTTATGTCTATGGTAGACATGATGGGTGGACAAGGGAGGGCTGACGTTTATTCAGAGAAACAACACTTGCTCTGAGAAGAACGAGGCCTTGTCCTCAAAAGGACAAGGTATGTTTTTCTAGAACTATACAGATAAATATAAAGTAACAATTATAATAATGACAATAATAAGAACGGAAAAATTAAAGCCTTCTACTAATATGTCTGATAACATTCCAGTAGATGGACGTAAAATAATTTGCCGATAAAAAATAAAGGTACATTTAATACAATAATGATACATAACATACCTGTGTAATTTTTGTAAGTAACGCGATCTTTCGCCTCTACTCCTTTACTTTGTGACACCGCACAAATATTGCAATATTTATTTTTAATGTCTAAAAGTAATATTTTATTTGTTCATCTCCCAATGATAGCGGCGACACCAGACAAAAAAGAATAATTTTTTTATAGGACCTTTTGCCATAACACCCATCTGCAATGACGTCAATAACTCGAATTCCGCCAGAGTTAACTCTCTCTTCATTGACTGCCAAATCATACTCTTCTTTAGCTGCTTCTCTCAGAGATTTTATTAGTTCTTCTTCCCATTTTTTCCCTACTTGGTCTATTTTCTTCGTAAATATATACATAGGAGCAAAACCAATGGCACAAGTTAATTCTTTTGATTGTGATTATCCACATCCAACAACTGCGCTGGTGTTGATGTCCATTTCATCTACGGGTTTATTAGTTTCCGGAATGAAAGTCATATTGCGCATCATGCATTTCAACTTGAGTTCGGAAATAAGGCCAACACGAACTTCAGACACAATTTTTACTGACTGAGGGCCGTGGGCAGATATTTCTTGAAGCGCTTTGAAAGAATGTGTTTCGTAAATAATCCGTCTACTAACTTGTTTTTCTTCGTGTGTTTCGCTGTAACAATGTAGATAATCATATTATAAGTCCAATTTTAAAAAAAATTATATTTTGCCCGACTTCATATCGACCTTCATATTGAAGTTCAACAAGAAGTCGCAAATAAAAAGAACGAAGAAGAAGATCCGACTTACGTAATATTGGAGAAATACATGGACAAACATACATACATACATACGGTATACACATAACCTCCTCATTCCCAGAGTATATTTTGAGTGTCATTTTTCGAATTTACCGTCTTTTATTATAAAATATATATTTTTAGGTATGTTATATCAGGAACGTAAATATTTTTCGGGTACATTGGGTTTCAAGGATTCCAAAAGTACTCAAAACACCATAATATATTTTCAATTTTTATTTTCATTCGAAAATTCGGTTATTTTTCAGTATTAAAAATAATATTTTTTTATAATTAAACTTACTGTATAAATGTAACTGTATATTATGCTACAATTCGTGATAGTCGTTATAGCAATTTCTTCCACTCATCAGTCACAAAACCACTTTACAAGTTGGGCATTGATGTCTTGCCTTAGTGAACTTAAACCTGTCAGTCTACAGCGGTTTTGAGTGTCCAAAAACAATAGGTAAGTGATCTAATTTTCTCGTTCTTACGAAATTAGATGGATGCTGAGTTCGAGCTCGCTTGCTTTGAATAGCATCCGGCACGATGTCATCATCAGCAGAAAGATCTTCTTCTATTTCCTTTTCATATTGCAGTAGAAAGTCAGCTATCGCTTTCCGAAACCCAAGATAGTCCAGTATGTCTTTTTTTCTAGTACCTAGCATTTCCTTAACCGATTTATATTCTATTCAGGATGCTGCCAAAGCAAAATCATATAAATGGAAGATGAGTCTAATTGTCCACTTGCGTGTTCTGGATGAAATCCTGTAGTAACTTATAATCCGATCCAAGCAATCTATACCACCCATTTTTTCCTTGTAGTGTATCACTACGACACTGTAAAGAGATGTACCTGTTTTGACATCATAACTGTTACGCCAAAAATGTACTCATCTCTCTTTCTGACGTATTCAGATTCTGTCCAGTTTCAGCAAGATAGCTTTGGTTTGTGTGGAAAGCGATTAGCTCATAGAAGTCGCTGGGTCACATACTCGTTTGGTGGTAAATTTATGGCCACTCGATCAGTCTCCTCAAAGGCGACGAGGTTGGAAAAATCTAGTGCTGGTGACTGATTTTCGGAAGATTGGCTATAAGTTTGGGTAGAAGCCTCACCGATATCTTCACTGAGTTCATCTTCATCTGAGCTGTCATCCTCTTCGTCTTCATTACCTTCAGCTTCAAGATTGAACGTTGGATTATCATCAGAATCCTTATTCCCCACATCAATATCTAAATCAGAATCTCCGTTGATGACGTTAGTTAATGCTTCCTCTAAAGAAGATTTTGTAATATAAGGAAAAAAAATTGGAATTAACTAAAAATATGCGGAAAAATCGGAAAAGGTAATGAAAAATATGTGAAAATGTAATGTATCCAAAAATATGGGAAAAATTTTTTCTTTTTTTTTATATAGGATAGGGTGACAAACGAGCACACAGCCCACCTGATGGTAAGTGGTTGCTGTGGCCCATAGACATCTACATCTATCCTCGATTACGAATCAAAATGCAGATGCGTTGTCACCCGTGAGGACTAAGATGGAATGCCTCGTTTCCAGTAAAAAGGGTCTCCGGTTCTCTACACTCACCATACGAAATACAGCAGCATTAAGCTACTATTTCACGCTGGTATTCTGTGAGAGCGTGGTCCTTCCACGGTCGAGCCGACCCATTCGTGCTACAACTATACTATAACTATGAACTATACCACGTATAAAATAATTCAATGGGTTTCAATGTTAATAAATATTTTTTTATTAACATTGAAACCCATTGAAACCCAATATGGAGACAACCAGGTTTACCTACGTATGAGAAAAAATTGGCACATTCGAACCAAAAGAATTGTAATCAAAACTGCTCTGAAACTATTTCAAAACATAAAATAGATTATAATTTTCACGTGCCAGCTCAAATAAAGACGAAATCTTCAACTTACTGTGATTAGGATCACCTATTTAAAAAAAAATCGGGAGCTCACTTTTAAACACTTGCAGAAAAAAACGATGCATACAATTGACTGCAGATTGATTTGAGCGGTACTGCTGTGTATCGAAAATTGTAAAAAGCTCTAACACGTTGTCACTGCCAATGTCTTTTAACGTAGTTTTCTGAATTTCCGCATGATGGCGTAATGTCCCCATATGGGGACGTTTGGAGCGAGGTGGATAATTCTAAAAGAATATGTGGGCCTCCAAGCGAAAAGGATCCAGTAGTCGGGTATTGAGTTAACCCTACAGCGCATAGTGGGACACATGTGGCACATACCTAAAAAACCTCTATGTTTCCGTACTCGAAATAAGTAGCGTCATCTAGTCAAAAGTAAACTAACTATAAAGGAATGGTCAATCAAATTTAGTACTAAAATTTTTGGTTAGATGTCTGAATGAATGTTTGTTTACATTTTGTTCAAAACCAACGGTATTTTGAAAGTGATCGACAGGTTGCGCAAGAAAAAATCAAAAAAAACTGATAAATTTGAATAGTTTGTATACGAAATAATTTGTAGAGGTAAGTTTATGTATCTATTTTGTATTTTTTTAGTTATTTGTAATTTCATAAATAAATAGTGCAAAGAATTACGACATTTTTGTATGTGACAGATGTGGCACACGATGCAATAAGTGTCTTCAAAATATTTGTATTGTTTCTAGATGAGCCGATGGAAAAATTTGAATTCTGATGATATTCAACAGTTTCTCGAAATTCCTTCCGGTAGTGAAGATGACCTGGAACTGTCTGATGAGGACAGCGATGACGACTTGATCAGAATCCAGGATTTGGTGTTGAACGAAGTGGAGATGTGCCCTGAAGTACTACAGGATGATTTCTTCGATGAGAACGTGAGCATACCTAGTCCAAGGTCAAGCAGTAGTATGTTAGTGATTCAGCCAACAAGCAGTTCTTCTAACACAGCCAACGTTGCATCACAACCTAGTACTTGCAGGCAAGTAAATCCTAGATCCAGCCGAGTAGCATCACGACCTCAAGCAGTACCTACTCCCCGCATCATTTCACCTTCCCCACAGCCTGTCAGGCCAGCCAGGCCAAAACCTAAGAGAGAATACATATGGCGGAAGATGGACTTTCAGCTACCTGATACCACATTTACTGGCGTTGACGTGTTGGAACAACCATATACTACATTTGAAACACCTTTGCAGTACTTTTTGCACTTTTTTGACGACGATTTGTTGGATCACATTGCTGAAGAATCTACTAAATACAGCATACAGAAGGATTGCTCAAAGCCAGTTTTGGTTACAAAGACGGAACTCAAAAAATATTTAGGCATCTGTCTCTTGTTAGGTGGTGCCACAGCCAAACATTCGCATGTTGTGGAATTCTATATTAGGTATACCACTGATAATTGAAACGATGACACTTGGTAACTTTGAAAAATTACGAAGTGTCATACATTTCAATGACAACATAAATTACAAACCTAGAGGAGAGCCAGGACACGACAGACTTTTCCGTATTGGAAACATTGATAAAGAAATGTCAAACTGTGCCGAAACGAGAGACACTTTCGGTGGATGAGCAAATGTGCGCTACCAAAGCCTGCAACTTCCTCCGCCAGTATCTCCCGAACAAACCTCATAAGTGGGGATACAAGTTGTTGGTGTTGTGTGATGATAAAGGTTTTGCTTATGACTTTGAAATCTACTCCGGCGCAGAAAATGATCCTGAGTTGAGGCTGCCCGACGAATGTGATTTAGGAGCGAGTAGCAACATTGTTGTACGCCTATGTCGCAGTGTTCCAAGAAATCAAAATTATAAGATCTTTTTCGATAATTATTACACGTCTCCTGAATTTATTTCTTACTTGGCTAAAAAAGGCATTCATACATTAGGCACCGTGAACAAGGGTCGTATGGGGATGACTTTGAAAATGCCATCTCAAAAAGAATTGACGGCCGCTAAAAGGCCGCGCGGCTATTCAGAAGGATGGGTGGCTACTGTTGATGCAGTACCAGTCTCAGCAGTGCTGTGGCGAGACAGCAAATCTGTTGTTCTCGCATCTTCTTTTGTCGGTGAACAACCTAAATACAAAGCAAAACGTTTCTGTAAGAAACGTCAACAATACACAGAAGTCAACGCCCCAAATATTATTGGACATTACAATCGGCATATGGGCGGAGTAGATCTCCTTGACTCTTTCATAGGAAAACACAAAATAAAAATGCGTACAAGAAAGTGGTACATGAGAATATTCTATCATTTGCTAGATGTGATGCTGATAAATAGCTGGCTTTTATATAAAAGAGTAGAGACGCAGAGGGAAAACACAAAAATGATGAAGTTACGAGAATTCCGACTGGAGGTGGCCAAAGCATTGTGTTGGTGTGGACCGTCAATAATAAAGAAGAGAGGAAGACCCTCCTCATTTGTATCTGACATGCTTGATGAAAGAATCAAAAGGAAGCCAAAACTCAATGTACCACCAAAAGATGTCAGGACCGATGGAATGGAACACTTTCCTATTTGGTCTAACATTAGGAAGCGAGGTAAGTTACCTGCTCGTAAGGGGAAATCTTTTGTAATTTGCCAGAAATGTAACCAGGCACTCTGTCTCAACAGGGACAAGAACTGTTTGTTGAAATTGTTGTTTTTGTTCTATATTTTATTCTATTTTTCACAAAAAGTTCCTAGTTTTATAATTATATATAAGTACAAATACTTTGATTGTAAGGCTCCTTAACCTAAGGTTAAATTAGTTGTTATAAAACATAATTTTCATGAATAAAGTTTGATTACTATGAGTTTATTTCATTCATAACTATTCCTAAAACATTACTACGGATTTACATTATACTGCACGATGTGCCATATGTGGGCCATACGAAAAAACTACATAAGTATGTTTCTATGGAGTTGCGATTTTTTTAAATATTTTTTTCGAGCTGTAGTATTATATTTTCTAGGTAATATATATTTTTTAAGCCGAAAAAAATCATGCACTGTAGGGTTAAATATATTAAATAAAATAGTAGAAAAAATAATAGTAGGTCAAATTACAGCCATAAAATTATCAACGATGCTCTGCACGGTTTTCGCCTAAATAGAAGTACAGCTACAGTTCTGTCTAAATTTACTGTTGATATTAATAGCTCGTTAAATCAACAGAAAATTGTATTTGATTTATTCATCGACTTTAAAAAGCTTTCGATACCCTTGATCACGATGGCTAACTGCATTCCATGCAGGAGTGCGGCATAAGAGGGCCAATGAACGCACGGTTTAGGGAATATTTAAATAATAGACAGTTGAAAGTACGTACGAGAAAAAGTTATATCCATAAATATAATAGGACACACTTACGAATGCTTGCATCGAAATAAATCTCATTATAAATGTCCTACCCTCCAAACTGTGTCGTCCTATAAATATTTAGGAGTAAACGTAGATAGTCGTTTTGCATGGAATATTCATATAGATTCAGTATGTAACAAATTAAGATCAATTTACTGTAAGTTACAAAATTTAACGTTTATAATACCCAGAAAAATTATGTACGTGCTTTATGATGCATAGTATGATACAGTAATATCTTGTGGGTTGAGCGAGTATGGTCTCACTTTTCATTTTCACCTAAAAAAAATCAAATATTTGCAAAGGAGAATTCTAAAATTATTAGTGGATAAAAAACAATAAAACCAATTAATAAAGACTATAATAAACTCTTTGAAATATGTTGTATACTGCCTGTAGAATTAAAAGTCAAAACGTATATCTTAATTGAACAATATAACAATATAGAATATAAACAGGAAAGGGAGTTTACGTACCCAACACGACTAGCTAGAACACCTAAGCTATATGTTCCAAATCATCATCATCATTACAGCCCTTCACAAGTCCACTGCTGAACATAGGCCTCCTCATATGTTCCAAATGTCAAAAATTATTATGGAAAACGTGAAAGAAGGTGGATAACGCCCGTACTTATTAACCAACTACCTCATGATTTAATGAAGAACATAACAGGTAAAAATAACTTAAAAAATCAATGTTATTTAACTTCTTTGTACATTTTTCTTTTGTGCTCTTTAGGTAGTTAATAAGTTTTGTTTATTTTATGTTAAGAATGGGAGAGTTAACCGTCAAATGCCTTTTGTATGCCGATGATCAAGTCATATTTGCGTCATCGGCGGCTGAGTTGCAAATGATGGTTACATTAATGAACTGGGAATTAAAAGAAAGGGGAATGAAAGTGAACGCAAGTAAGACGAAAGTGATGGTTTTTGAAAGAGAAGAAAGCAAAACGGTATGCGAAATAAGAATAGAAGGAGAGTTAATTGAGCAAGTGGATGAGTTTGTGTATTTGGGATGTGTATTTAGCAGGGATGGTAGATATGATAGGGATATAGAACGACGAGTAAATGCAGAGAATAGAGTGAATGGGGCACTACACTCTATTATGAAGAACCAGAATGTGTCAAAACAGGCACGTATGGTAATTCATAATGCTGTGTTAGTCCCTACTTTAATGTATGGTAGTGAAAGCTGGGTGTGGCAGAAGAAGCAAGAAAGTAGAATAAATGCTGTAGAAATGCGGTCTTTAAGGAATATGCTAGGGTTGAATCTGAATGACAGAGTGAGAAATTGCGTGATAAGAGATAAATGTGGTATGCAAGATGATGTTGTGACCAGGATTAAGAAAGGAATGCTTCGGTGGTTTGGTCATGTGGAAAGGATGAATGAGGGAGTGACAAAGCAAATTTATATGGCAGATGTGAACGGTCGAGTCGGGAAGGGACGCCCTAGGAAAAAGTTTATCGACCAAATTGGCGAGATTTTGAAAATGGGCCACGTTAGAAGTACCCTTAACCGACGAGCTTGTATGCGTAGATATATGGATGTAAAGGAGGCGAAAGAGGTATGTCAGGATCGTGCCAAATGGAAGTCCGTAGTCTCTGCCTACCCCTCTGGGTGACAGGCGTGAGTGTTTATGTATGTATTTATGTATTATTTTATTTTTTCTCTTTTGTGTTCTTTATATAAGTAGTAAGGTGAGTTGGGGTAAGACTACCACCGGGGTAAGACTATCAATTTTAAATATCGCGCTATGTACGGCTCTGTTTCCGGTTGCACTATGTCGGTAAAACAGTTTGATTGTTAGACTTCCCAACTTCACATATAGATGTCGCCATTGGTAGTCAATATCGCCAACACAACGAAACTAAAATTTCAGTTCCGCAAAAAAATATTCGTGACCGGCCGGCTTCTTTTGTTTATCAATTTTTTGTGTTGATACGTGGTTTATTGGAACAGTCTAAAAGTAAGTAGTATGAAATCAATGTTTACTTTGAAGGTTTTATATCAAAAGAGCTTAAAACAACATATATCTATAAAATTTAACAAAGTTAAACATAACCTAGAAAAATCCAAAGTGGGGCAAGACTATCACTTTGGTTGGGGTAAGTCAGTCAGTCAGTTAGTCTTACCCTGTGTCAGATATCATAAACATTTTTACTGGTTTTTTTATATCCGAAACTAATATAAGAGATTAATGTGTAGGTATATTAATATTAATGTAAATTTATCACACTAATATTATAAATGTGAAAGTTTTTGTCTGTCTGTTTGTTTGTTACTTCTTAACTAAAAAACTACTGGACCGATTTGCGTGAAATTTGGTACACATGTAGAGGGATCAACTAGTTAAATATATTAATGCAAATGTGTATTCTTCGCCTAACCCAAACATACTTTACAGGGTCAAGCAAGATGGTGCGAAATTATGTTCGTAAAACAGACAGAGGGACATATCCAAAAGAAAAATTGCTAGAAGCCGTAGAAAGAGTCAAGAACGGAGATTTATCAGCTTATAGAGCCTCTATAGAATATGGGATTCCACGAGCAACAATAGTAGCAAGAGTGTACGACAGATATGGTCTAAAATCAAATTCTTTGGGGAGATGTACAGTTCTTCCTGAAGCGATAGAAGAAAAATTGGCAAAACACTTACACGTAATGGAGAAATATGGGTTTGGCCTCACAAGAGTTGAAATCATGGAACTGGTCGGACACTACATCGCCAAGAATCAAATCGATAATCCTTTTAAAAATGGAATCCCGGGAGCACTCTGATTTATATCTTTTAAGAACCGACACAATTTATCGATTAAAAAACCACAGGCAGTTGAAAACTCGCGGAAAAAGCCTGCAACCCCTGGATTATCTACACTTATTTTGACTTATTAAAGAAAACCATGGATGAGCTGGGATTACATGATAAACCATCACAAATCTGGAATCTAGATGAAACTAGTTTAAGCAAAGACCCCAGTAAAACCAAAGTGGTAGGTCTGAGAGGTTTTGCATCAACAAGAACGATATCATCACCCGGCAAAGACAATACAACAGTTTTGCTTGGATGCAGTGCAGCCGGTGACAAAACACCTCCACTTATTATATTTAAAGGAAAAAATGTGTGGGATGAGTGGACATCCGAAGAGGACTATCCAGGCACAGTGTATGCCGCCACGAAAAACGGTTGGATGGAGACGGAAATTTTGAACAAAAATTTTCAAACCAAAACAATTGCGAGCCTCACACCCCGGGAAAAAAAACCGTGAAGAAGAAAACCATTCTGAAGTTACGACCGCACACTAGCGATAATCTACAGCCATTAGACCTTGCGGTCAATAAATCTTTTAAAGATAAATGGGATTTGGTAAAATGGCAGAGACTGCACGTGGGGCAAATGTTACCAAAAAAAGATTTTTCAAAGTTGATTGGCCACGTTTGGACACAAGTTGATCCCTCAGTGTGCGCAGCTGGGTTCAGGAAAGCTAGTATATTCCCTTTTAATAACGATGCTGTACCTGAACACAAATTTCACCCAGATCAGCTCGCAGAATGGAGAAAACAAAGACTAGAAAGATGTACTGAGGTGATTGAGACATCTATAGCACCTGATATTCCGAAACATCGCGATAATCAACAACTTCATGGCCCTTCGTGCTCCAAAGACCAGATAAATCATCCACACCAAGCTGAGCTTAGTTCCGAAAATAACGTGAACATTGTAAAAGTCCCTTCATTAATTGCTTCTTGTTTAAATTATTGGAATCGTCAAACCAAAGAACCTACCGAACCTAACGAACATCAGCACAATCATAATAAGCTACAATCTATTAAGTGCAAATACGGAGCAAAAACTTTAAAAATTGTGCCGCTCAATTATGACATACATCTGCATGCAAAAAGTCAAATCAATTCTATAAAACGAACATCACCGGTAAAAATAATTGTTCAAGATGATCGTCCAGTACAATGTGATATTACATTTGAGGAACTGTTACTCCAAAAAATTAAAGCAGACTCCAGTACAACAAAAACACGCACAAAAGTGGCAGATGGCGCTGAACTTATTACAAGTGAAGATGTTTACATAAAGCAAAAAAATGAAGAAGAAAAACAGACAAAAAAGCTAAATAAAATTAAAATAAACACGAAAGAGAAAAACGAGGGGAATAAATATACAAAACAGTTTCAAGACACAAAAAGAAAAAAAGTAACAAAACCAAAGGAATCTGATCAGAAAACAAAAAAACTGAAAATAGATGAGTTTACAAGTGAAAGTGATATGGAAATAGAATTGATGGATGAGAGTGATTTAGAAAATTACGATTTAAATAATATATTAGACAACGATGAGGAAAATGATGACATAACAGCAGAAGTTGAAAAGGCAGATTGCATTGAATATGACGATCCGTTGACAAGTACTGTTGTCAAAGGACAATGGGTCTTGGTCAAGTTTGCCTTAAAAACTAGTGTTAAACACTATGTTGGAGTGGTTACAGAATTAAATTGTGAAGGAAAACCAACAATCAATTATGTCAGAAAAAGTAGACACAGAGGGAGCGAGGACAAACTATGTTTGTTTTTCCACAAGTACCTGACATATGCGAGCTCAGACATCTCTGACAGACAGATATTATATGTAAACTACCAGATCCAATTACAGGTCGAAGAGGACAAATATTTTTCAAAATTACCTTTCATGGCTATAACGTTCAGTAGCTTTACTTTTACAGGGTGTAACGGTTAGTTGAAATAATCTTTTACAGGGTGACTCAGCCCATGATACTGAACAACTTTCCCCATGAAACATATGGCATCAGATAATAAAAAATGGCTTCCTCATAGTAATTGTCCGAGCCACTCATTGAAAATGTATGGGAAGGCCAAATTTTTTTTCTTCTAATGTCATATGTTTCATGGTGAAAATTGTTCAATATCATGGGATGAGTCACCCTGTAAAAGATTATTTCAACTAACCGTTACACCTTGTACGTAGCTAAAATCAAAGTTCCTTCTAATTTTAGGTTAAAATTTCTTTAAGACTGAATTGCAGTGCCATCAGGATTATTTTATTAGTATGTTCGATAAGTACCTACTCAGTTTGTATCTTATAATTTAATACTTACACAAATAAAGTTTCATAAAAATATATTTATGTTGCGTTTAAATTAATTTCCTACAAGTTATGGCAATGGATCATTTGTACCGTAACCAAAAGTTACGCACCCCTGATTTAAGTAGTATGTTAGTCTTGCCCCAAATCATTATTTTCTTAAATTACACAAAAACGAACTGTAATATGTTGAAAATGTAGTATTATCTCCTGAAATACTAACGACTTTTTATTAAAATGTGCTTTATGTGAAGGTATTAATTGAATAAAGGTTACTGTTAGTCTTACCTGTCTTATAAAATAATCGCTATGTAATCTCTGGATGCACTTACGGTCATATGTTTACAATTGCTTAATAGCTTATAATATCTCTGTATCAGTGTGATCATTACCTCCAAGGTAGGTCAAATAGCTAAGACAATATAACAAAACAAAACTATATTCAAGTAAACTATGTTAGTCTTACCCCAACTCACCTCACATAAACATGAGTCATCCATAACATAAGTCATCCAGGAGAGCTGCTGCCGACAAACTGTGTTCGCAGTTTGGCAGATTGTGATTTTATACAGGTTGGTCCAAACAGTGAGGTTATAAATTTTTTTTGATTCCTCACACCTAGTGGTATCCGAAAATACCCTATGTATGTTACGCGATTTTTTGTAGTTTTCGAGTTATTATTTTTTTACAAAATATACCAGCAATAAAAAAAGAAAATTGTAGCATGAGGGCCATATAAAATAATTAATTCCTAACATTCACGAAGATACAATAATTTTAAACGAAACTTAAAAATTTTCTGTCAGGAGAGTGGGGCTTGAATTTTCAACATTAAATGAAAAATAGTAATAAATGATTTGATACTTTCTAATTAATTTTAAAAACTTTGCAGTACCTTAATCCTTCATAATAACATTAAAAAAATGACACTTAATAGGCCAGTTTTTCTGTTACAGACTTCTGAAGTTACTCAGGAAGGAAACTACCTAAATAGTTAATTTGATTTAAAAAATCTTTTTATCATTTCTAGGGCTAAACTAAGGTAGTAAATGCTTCAGGTTAGCAAAGAAAACTACTTATTGTTAAAACACGACGACATTTATTAAGGTATCATTTTACTACAAACTACATGTTTTTTTTTTATTTCACTGAAACTAAATGATAGCACATTCAGTCACAAACACACAAAGGAATTTTAAACAAAGGCTCAGGTAAACATTCCTGCTTTGCGCTCTATTTTGTTACCAGGCCGCACCCCGCGCTCCGCGCCACGCCGACCGCGTCCCTTTTGCACCTCGCTCGGTCCCGCCAGTCGTTCACTGCTTTCCCGCGTGCAACCACTACTCACGTTTACGTTTATTTGGATCTCTTATTTGACTACCTTCGCTTTGTTTCCCGGATTCTTGATTTGCCTTACGATTGACCTGTGCTTGTTTTATGGACCTTGAGTTGCTTAGTGATTTGGATTACTTTTAGCAATGAGTTATTCTCTCAGTCAATACGCAGAGATGCACTATTTCTACGGCATTGCCCAAGGAAAGGGCGCATTAGCGGCACGGCTTTATCGAGAGCAACTAGAGCGGCAAGGAGAAGCATTACCCGGGCTACAGGGTTTTTAATAAGACCCAAGACACCCTGATGGCTGGACGCGTTCCTGGGCGTAATCAACGTCGCGAGGGACTACCCAGAATGGATCCAGAAAGAAGAGATGTAATCATTGAAGAAGTAGAAAAAGACCCTTCTACTAGTTCACGAGCGATTACGAGGACTGGAATCCCAAGGACTTCAGTTTTAAGAATACTGAAATCAGGTGAGTGCATTTTATTATTTTGTAGACCCCTTTATTAAAAATCCCAACACATTGCTGCACTGCCATTTCAAATCACACTCATTTAATTTACTGTGAATTGTCGATGTCTAATGTGTTGTGTGTGCGTGTAAAAGAGAGAGATGTAGAGACCCTTAAACAAGCGCTCGTAATTCAAAAATAGGCGCTAGGACGCCACTCTAGCGAATCCCAACTTTTAGTTTCACGTTCACGTGCTCTATTGGTACGTACCTCTAGTATTGTGTACAATGACAATCTACAATAAAAATACTAATCTTTTTTTCCAGAGGGATATCACGCGTTTCATATTCAGCGTGTTCAACAACTTAACGACGCAGACTATCCAAGGCGTGTTGCTTTCTGCCATATAATGCTGGAAAGATCTGCGGAAGACCCGGATTTTTTTTAACAAGATACTCTGGACGGATGAATCCCGGTTTGAAAGGACTGGCGTCTTTAACATTCACAATCATCATAGCTGGGCCATTGAAAACCCAAAAAAAGCAAGGCAGTCAAATTTTCAGAATAGATTTAGTATCAACATGTGGTCAGGAGTCATAAATGGAGAAATGGTTGAGCCCTTTGAATTGTCGTCTAGATTGAACGGGTCCCAGTACCTGAATTTTCTACAAAATAATTTAAATGGTTTATTGTTTGAAGTTAATTTACAAACGAGGAGGGATATGATATTTCAAAATGACGGTGCTTCTTGCCATTTTGAAAGACAAGTGAGGGAGCACCTCAACAGAACTTTCCCAGGAAGGTGGATTGGGCGTGCAGGGCCAATCGAATGATCTGCACGCTCACCAGATTTAAACCCTATAGATTTTTTTATTTGGGGATTCTACAAAGAAATGGTGTATGCTAGAAAAAATTAATTCGGAAAATGAATTAAGGGAAAAATTGAGACAGTGCGCAGAAAAAATCAAAGAAAATACGAATGCTTTTCGATGACTAAAAGCAAATTTTTTAAGACGATGTAGACTGTGTATCGAAGTTAATGGCCGCCATTTCGAAAATTTACTTTAAATAAATTTATCTTAAATTATTTACTACTTTTATTATGAATCTTGAAATCATTTGTCCAGAACGTAGTAAAATGATACCTTGTTGTCTATAAATTTTAAACAATAAGTAAAACACTTGATGTTATTTTTGCTAACCTGAAGCATTTACTATCTTAGTTTAGCCCTAGAAATGATAAAAAGATTTTTTAAATCAAATTAACTATTCAGGTAGTTTCCTGCCTGAGTGACTTCAGAAGTCTGTAACAGAAAAACTGGACTATTAAGTGTCATTTTTTTAATGTTATTATGAAAGATTAAGGTACTGCAAAGTTTTTAAAATTAATTAGAAAGTATGAAATCATTTATTACTATTTTTCATTTAATGTTGAAAATTCAAGCTCCACTCTCCTGACAGAAAATTTTTAAGGTTCGATTAAAATTATTGTATCTTCGGTGAATGTTAGGAAGCTAATTATTTTATGCATAATAGGGCAACTCATAAGGATCATGCTACAAACAAAAAAACTTGGAAAAAATTTCACAATTACATTTTTTTTAATGTTAAGCTGTTTAGGAAGAATATTTTCAAAAAAAGGGTAAAAAAAATCATAACTCGAAAACTACAAAAAATCGCGTAATCAAAAAAAAAAAGAATAAAATCAAAAAAAAATTATAACCTCACTGTTTGGACCACCCTGTATATTATGTACTCAGAACTGAAAATAAATTAAAAAAAATGTGTATAATATTATAAAACTTAAAAACTGTGCGTAAAAACCAAAAAATAATAATTGTACAGTGTAAATAAAAGTACAAAAACAAATAACAGTGAAAACTTTGAAAGGTGGTAATAAACTGTAAATATCAATAATCAAATTGACTTATAAATACGCCTGCATAGTTATTAACCTTAACATTAAATCCCCGGGATTGAATCCCCATAAAAATCCCATGCAATCGCATGCATATTGCGTGTGGTGTGCCCACGTCTACTAATATGAATTTGTAATTGGCATCTACCAAAGCCAAGAGCAATATGAAATTTTGACCTTCGTAGTTTCAATAATCTGAGCCACCATTAATTGGACACTTCATGTTTATGTGTTTTCCATCCAGAGCTTTTGGAATTTGGAAAATTCCAAAAGCGTTTGAAATCAGTATCTACTTGTTTCCACATAACTTCTGTTGGTTGCGGCAACACAACCAAGATGTTTCCAAATCGCTTCACAAACTTCCTTCACTATTGTTCGTATAGTAGAAAATCTCATGCGATAACTAAATCCGATACTTCGAAATGAATTACCCGAAGCCAGGAATCTGTAACATTTAATACAAGTTCTTAAAAATTTGGAATACAGGATTTAATCTTTATTATTGTTGCAGTTGACGAGTGCAAAGAAAATTGGAATAAGATGCGTAATTGCAATAATAATGCTATGAAACGGCGCCAAAAGAAAAGTGGCCAAGCTGGAGAAAAATTGCGCCTTGGTGGTTTGAGGAACAAATGTCATTTTTGAAACCATATTAGGAGGGCCGTCCTACTACAGGAAATCTTGATGCTAGTGTGTCTAATGAAAATTCTCCTCTTCCATCCCCGAAGAGTCCATACGCTGAAAGCCAACCGTCCCCTGAAAGCATATCATCCCGCACCAATGCTCCTACGTCGAATACATCATACAAAAGAAAGGCAACTCCCAGTACTGATAATTACTTGGCTGATACGATGGATATGACGAAAAGCTCTCAAGAAAATAGAAATAAAAAGCAGGAACTGGATGATCTAGATACATTCTTTTTAAGCATGAGTAAAACTATGAAAAAACTCCCAAGACTGGATCAAATCCGAATTAAAATGGATTTGCTTTTAAAGCTAGAAGTGAAGCAGAGATCAAACAACTGGAGTCACAACAATATGTTTTGAGAACACCAATTGCTATTAGGAGTGACAGAAGCAGCTTAAACTGCCATAATGTAAATTCTTATTCTGGGAGTTTGGTACAACCCCACATTTCATATTCTTCCCCATCTTATATACTTGAACTGCCCCATACCCAAGTTTCATCAGAAGCGGCTAATGATGATGAAGAAACTGGTGAGGTCGAAAATTTTCACTGTTATTACGAAAATATAAATATGTAGGTAATAAAAACATTCTTAACCATTAATATTTGTGTTATTTTCTATAGTACCTAGCATAGTTATCTCTGCAATAGAAAAACAGATAAAACATATCGTAGACAAACTACTAGCCGTTCTCTGGTACTAATTGGCTTCCGAAGACGTGTATGTTCTTTTTTATGTCACATAACTATGAATCTCCTCAAACTGTACTTTAGACATACGGAAGTACATAAAGTATCGGTCTTCATCACATACCAATTTCTTTAATAATGTATGGTATTCGCCTACATTTTCTCCTTTATTTATCTCATGAACCCAATATCTTCTCTTCTTAACTGTTTTTTTGTTCCTTTGGCGCGGAAATACACATTTAAAAATAACAAACGTAATAAATCGTCCTCAAATTCACTGTCAGACTCGGAAAACATTGTACACCTGAAGAAATTACAACAGCGTCTGATACCAATATACGTCGTATACGTGGGACAAGTGTGCACACCAAGTCACCCACGTTGCGTTGCATCCGTTGCGTACGTGGGCTCAGTTTGTCCCTACTTTAAAACTTACATTTAGAGACTACTTTTCTATGACGAAGTTTGGCATCATAAAATTTTAATTCAAATTTTTCTTCATTACAAAAAGATTTTATTGTATTTTGATAACAAAAAAAAACATACCAAGTGAATGTCGGCAGCGTGAAAATCACAATTATTTCTATATATATTACTCGAAATTATTTACATAAAAAGATAAAATATATTCACACGAAAACTTTCATTACAATCTTATAATAAAATACTATACTAAAACACTAATAAAATCCAAAAATCAACACTATAACATTCACGCGAAAATGGCGTACGAAATGAACGTAGATTATAAATAAATATCTTTAGGATAACTAACATTTTATTGCACTAGAAAATAGCAAATTTCATATTGATTCTATAATGCTAAACTTTTTCATAGAAAAGTATAGAAATTAATTGTAGTAGCAAAGTTTTTATGGGTTAAAGTGCTGTGGCTGGGTGTGGTCATATTTGACTGCTTGAATTTTGACCGAATATCGAAGCGGTTTAATTTGGGCGGTTGGTGTTTGAGAGGTTAATAGTTTTATGAAAATCTTAGTTTCATCGTAAACAGAAACCAATCATAAAAACATTTAATGCAGTATAAAGTATGAAGGGAAGTTAATTTATTGATTTAACTATATAGCTACAAACACTTAAGACAGTGACTAAATTTATTTTCGTTTCGTGTGTAACTGTATAGTTGGTGGTGGTACAAACAATCACAGCAGCCGGATAAAAATAGCCCGTTACAAAAATCACAAAATAATTAGTTTGGAAACAGGTGACGCCGACCAAGTAACTGATTTCCTTACATTTCTTGAAGATGACGAAACGACCCACGTCTAGGCCCCATGCATATACAGAGTGACTTTGAAGTTATAACATTAAATGAAAAGACATATCCTACATAACGTCCTTTTAACATACATAACTAAAAGAAATGTAAAAATTAACATCCTAGTTCCAGTAGCCTTTTTTTATTTATTTATTTATTTAACTTCATATACACATTAGATGTATATAGGCGGACTTAATGCCTGAGGCATTATCTACCAGTCTACCTTAGAGTAGTGCAGAGATAAAAGAGGTAGGTTTAATATTAAACAACAACAAACCTTTTTTTTCGATTTAATATTAAACAACATCATGTAAATGCATATATTTATCACCTGACGAATACTAAAGGGTCAAAGACCCAAGGCCGGCAAAGGCGAAGATACCTAGTTCAAACGTTGCCATTCCGAATTACACAAATAAAGGAAAAATCAAGCAAAAATATACTTAAGACTAACGATTTAAGGCATAATTCTTATGCGCGAAATTAAAAACAAAGGGACCGCGCGATGCGAGTGTGTGAAAACAAATTCAAGCAAAAATTTACTTATAATAGATGTCCGAAGGCATAATTCGCTATGCGTGAAGTGATAACAAATGAAAGGGAATGGTGTGAACATGCGTGTTGTTTATATTCGTATTTCTCTGGCGCATGGGTAGTCCGACGCCCGTGCCCTTGGATGGTTCATGAGTCACTTGACCTAATTTTCGCGTAGGCATCCTTTGAGTTTTAATTGTTGTTTTTTAGTTTTGTGGACATTTTGATAAGTTTTTTGATTTGTTTGTGATAGGACACTTTAATAGGATAATAATAGTTGTGATAAGGTGGTGTGACAGTTTGTGCGAAATTGGACGCTTACTTTTACTGTTTTATATTTTTTTATTTGTAATGGGACACGTTTAATACGCTAGATAAAAAAACATATTTAATAACTTAGTGAAGTGGTGTAACAGCTCGCTTAAAATTGTACGCTTTTTCTTTTTAACGTTTTAACTTTTATAAGTTTTAAGATGCCTCGTGTCAATTTCACAACGTCGGAATACACCGACATGTTTTTGATTTACGGAAAGTGCCACCAAAACGCGGCTTTGGCATTACAAACATATCGAGAGAGGTACATGAACATATGGTATGATACCACACGTGTATGTCCTACAGACGCACTTATTTTTATACGGGCAGTCCAAAGATTACGCGACGGTCAATATTTGATCCCGCGTCAGGTTGAAATTCCTCCGCAAGTAGCCGTGGCTCAGGAAGAACAAATATTGAATTATTTCGCTCGTAATCCAACTTCGTGTAAACCACAAGACTGTTCACAAAATATTAAGAAAAAACAAGCAACGGTCGTTCAAATATGTAAAGGTACATGCTTTATTAGATAGAGATAAGCCAGTCAGGGAAGCCTACCGCCAATGGATCCTGAGCAGAGTAGCTAATGACTCTAACTTTTAAGCTAATATAATGTGGACTGACGAGAGCATATTCACGCGCAACGGAATATGGAATCGGCAGAACTTACGGTACTGGAGTGAAGAAAATCCGCAACTGTGTCGAGAGTCTATGCATCAATACAGATTTGCCGTTAATGTTTGGGCTGGAATACACGGAGATCAAATTATTGGTCCCGTGTCTATCGAAGGAAACCTTAGTGGGCCTAAGTTTTGTGAACTGCTTGACGGCCCAGTGGCGCATTACGTTGATGGATTACCGTTAGGGGAAAATAGCCGCCTATGGTATCAGCTTGACGGAGCACCTGCTCACTCAGTGGTGGCTGCCAGAGAGCGCCTCACTGAAATATTCGGAGAGCAGTGGATTGGCCGATACGGACTTCTAGGTGGCCAGCAAGGTCACCGGATCTAACACCGTTAGATTTTTTCTTATGGGGTTATTTGAAAAATGAGGTGTACTCCACGGAAGTAACGACTGTCGAGGACATAAATATAAGGATTATTCGGGCTTTCGACAAAATAAAAATTTTTGTCGCCAATGGTGACCTACTTCGCAAGGTCCGAAATAATATCATGCGACGATGTCAGTTATGCATTCGGGTACACGGCGGATATTTTGAAAATCTAAAAGTTTAATTTGATTTATTTATTAAACTATAGTGACTGATAAGAGTGATTATTTGGATAAAAACAATACCATAAAGTCTGTGATTTGTTTATAACATCGCATGAGCATCGCCTTACACGTGCCTAGTTGCCTATGTATGGGCAAGTGTAGGTAACCTGTGTCGCCGCGATGTTGCCGCTTTTACAGGTCACTTCAGGTCAAATTAATATTATTCAGGATGATTTAAAGTGCCCTGCGGACTCTCCGTCCGCATACCGGCCCGTGGTGCTGCTCGACGAGGTGGGCAAGCTCTTTGAAAGAGTCATTGCAAACCGCCTCGCCGAGCACCTTGCGGGGACGGGGCCGGATCTTGCGGAACACCAGTTTGGTTTCTGCAAGAGGCGCTCTACGGTGGACGCCATCATGCGCGTGAGAGCCCTCACGATGGGGGATGCAGTGGCCAGAGGGGGGGTCGTCTTGGCGGTGTCTCACGACATCGCCAACGCCTTCAACTCCATGCCCTGGAGTTGCATTAGGGAGGCACTCCGGTATCACCGGGTGCCAACCTATCTCCGTCGTATAGTCGGGGACAATCTGACAGACAGGACCGTCATCTACCCCGGTCGCAACGGTGAGTGGAACCGGCGAGAGAAGTCGTGCGGCGTCCCACAGGGTTCGGTTCTGGGGCCACCTCTGTGGAACATCGGTTACGACTGGGTGCTGCGCGCCGACCTCCCTACCGGCGTCAGCGTAGTTTGCTACGCTGACGACACGCTGGTACTGGCACAAGGGGGGTCGTACGAGGCGGCGGCGGAAACTATGACACGCGGGGTTGCGATAGTCGTTGAGAGGATTCGGCAACTGGGTCTCGAGGTGGCTCTGCACAAGTCCGAGGCCATGCACTTCCATGGTCCTCGGAACAGGCCACCACCGGGATCCTCAGTGATGGTAGGAGGGGTATCCATCGGCGTCGAGTCGACGCTGAAGTACCTAGGACTCGTCCTCGACGGCCGATGGAACTTCGTTGAGCACTTCCGACGTTTGGCTCCCAAACTGGAACGGACCGGGGCTGCCTTCAGGCAGCTCCCGCCGAACCTGGGGGGCCAAACGCCTCCTGCCGGAGGCTCTACGCGGGGATCGTGCGATCCATGGCCCTTTACGGGGCCCCGGTGTGGGCGCGTGGTTTGGCGCGGCTTGCCGTCCACCACCTGAACGCGCCCCAAAGGGTGGTTGCCGTGAAAATGGTTCGCGGCTACCGCACGATCTCCCGCGAGGCGGCGAGCCTCCTTGCCGGATTGCCGCCAGGGGGATCTAGAGGCGATAGTCCTCGCGCGC